CCATGGTGGCACAGTGGTTAGAATGCAGTACTGCAGGCTACTTCTGCTGAATGCCAGCTGCCAGCAGTTGGGCAGTTTGATTCTCACCAGGGTCAAGGTTGACTCAGCCTTCCAACCTTCCAAGGCTGATAAAATGTGGACCCAGACTGTTGAGGGGAATAGGCTGACTCTGTAAACTGCTTAGAGAAGGCTGTAACGCACTGTGAAGTGGTATATAAGTCTAAGGGCCATTGCTACTGCTATCATGTGAACATATCTGTCCCAGAGGGATTTCAAAGAATCATCATATGAAAGTGGCCTTGGTTTGGTGGATTCCCTCCCTGCCTTCCAAGATTGAGGTTAAATGATTTGTGGTGGTTTGCAAAATGATTGTACAGGTAGTCCTGATTTGTAGCCATATGTTCAGTGACCATTTGAAGTTACAACATCGTTGAAAAAAGTGACATATTTTTCAAACTTGCAACCATTACAACATCCCTATGTCCACTGATCAAACTTTGAATGCTTGGCAACTGGAATGGATTTATGACGGTTGCAGTTTCTGAGGATCATGTGATCAACTTTTGCAAACTTCTGACAAAGTCAATGGGGAAGCTAAATTCATCAACAACTGTGTTACTAACTTAACAGCTGCAATTATTCACTTAGCAACTATGGCAAGAAAGGTCATAAAATGGGGCAAAACTCACTTAACAATTGCCTTGCTTAGCAATGGCAATTTTAGGCTTTATTGTGCTCGTAAGTTGAGGAATACTTGTACCACATTAGGAGCATGTGAGTGTCTTCCTATTAGATCCACATATCTTGTTCATAACTGGGAAGAACAAACCTCTTCTGAAATTTTGCCAAGAAAAATCCAGGCAGACTAATCCAACCAGTTGCCAGAAGTCAACACTGACTTGAAGGCAGGCGCGCGCGCACACACACACACACACACACACAAATCCTGAAAAGTAAGATAGAAATACAATGCAAATTTCTTTCCTAGAGGAAGAAGAGATTGAGGAACTCAAAAGATAACTTGACAAAGTCTTACTCAATTTTTGAACACTTGATGGCTTTGTTCTCTAGTTTTATAGGCAACATTCCACTGTTTTGTGTACTAACACACACATTCATGTCTTCTTGCATGATTTTGGAAAATAGGAAATATTAAAAGCTAATATAAAAAGCTTAATACTGAACTAGAATGAAACTTTTGTTGTGATTCNAATTGGCAGAAGGCGGTCTCTCAAATAGCCAGATCCACTACCATGGAGCGCTTTATAGGTGGTGAGTAGGACCTTGAAATTTTACCCACTTTAAGATTGCTTTTATTATAAACTACCATGAGGTATTTTGGCATATGAAATAAACAAATAATGAATAATAAATTCAATATTGTGTGTAAATTAATACTAAACAATCTCTTAGGCTATTTTTTTCTTAGAAATGCATTTTTTGACAACATAAATATACATATACACACAGAGGCCAATTCTTAATTCTCTGTCTCATTCTTCTAATGGAAGGATACATGAGGAGGCAACATAGTACTAGGCTCTGTTAGTTGGGAAATCAGAAAGTTCAAACATTCTGAGATGCTTAACTGGGAAAGTTAATAGTATAGAACATGTCATGAAATTTGCTTTGTCCACATGAACAACACATAAAAATCCTATGATCATTTGTTTATACGTTTGATCATAGAATCATAGTCCTATTGTCATACTGAAGATGCTTGAGGAGTATATTTGTGAATACTCCTTTTGAGCTCTCTTGTGTGGCTCTTCTAAATGTTAAAACTTTAGGTAAATATGTTTGCCTAAAGAAAGTAGCCCTTAACTGTATTAAATAAAGTCTCTATGCATTATAAAATAGGAACATAATGTCTTTTTCTGAGAAAAATAGAATGCATTATTTGATAGAGGAAGAGATGGTATTTTCAGCTCTACAATTAAGATTGCAAAAGATTAATATTGACTGCAAAATACATAATTGCTTTTCATTTAATTCTATTCACATAATTGTGCAGGCTTGAATTGATTTGCATAACAATAGCTGAATATGGGAATAGAAATCAATCAAAAGAAAGAAATTTCTTAGATCAAAGCAAACACAGTAGAAAGAAAAAAACAATCAGAACTTCTGATTAAGGGATACCCATGGGAAGCAGGGAGTTGTCCACAGGTTTGCTATATAGCCAGATGGTTAGCACTAGCAACATGGACTGATCACCTATTTATAGAGGATTTGCTTGTAGTAGAAATGAAGTTTTTTTCATTATCTAAATAGAAATGCAGTTGTAAATTAACAAGGCTTCTGCATTTCATTTCATTTTACTCTTACTTAGCTAGCTCTGTAATAACATTATTTTCTCTCCCTAAATCCTCTGAATCAGTTGAAAGCAATCCAGGAGAAACTGACAAAACTCTTAGCAATTTAACATCTGTTTGCTTACTAGAGTTGTTGAAGGAGAGCTGTAAAGCCATCTAGCCAGCATTTGTCTTACAAGTTCTGAAACTTAGAAACCAGGGAGAATTCCTTTTTCCCCGAAGAAGAGTGAGTTTCCGTTAAAATATCTCAAAAATGACTAAACAGAAAACGTATTTCAACTACACCACAAGTGAGTCACAAATCAGCTTCTCAACACAGGACTTTTTACATCATCAAGAGCCATGGTGGCACAGTGGTTAGAATGCAGTACTGCAGGCTACTTCTGCTGAATGCCAGCTGCCAGCAGTTGGGCAGTTTGATTCTCACCAGGGTCATGTCTTCTTGCATGATTTTGGAAAATAGGAAATATTAAAAGCTAATATAAAAAGCTTAATACTGAACTAGAATGAAACTTTTGTTGTGATTCAGCAATTTTTTTTATTAATATTTATATTTCATCTGCAATATATATTTGAAAATGCAGAATTTCCTTTTAGTCTAAACTTGTCTTTAATATGCTATGCATTTAGATAGCACATACCTTTTATAAACTGGAAATTGCTCTACCTACTTCTCACAGCTTCATATAGTTAAATGAGTGAAAAGCTGAATCTATCTTTTCTCGCCCAAATATGTAGGAAACTGCAGATCAAGGCTTATGGGTGGGACATCACCAAACAAAAAGTATATAGGCAAATAATATGCTAGGATACATATACAGCATGTTATATAAATTCTTTTACAGAACTGAGATTGGCTGTGGCTGCTAACAGCACAGGATATGGGCAACAAAATATGTGAAATAGTCTTTAGAAAAGGATATGACACCAAAGAATCATGTGAACAACTTCAGCAGGAATTGGTGTAATAATTTATAGTCATTGTGTTTAGATGCAGTCGAAATTGTCAATATATTTGAAGGCTACAGATAAAAAATGTTTTGCCAACCTATCTCAATTCTCTGAACTTAGAATCAATATTTTCTTTTAGAGCTGCTCCCTGAATACGATTGTTACTTTAGCTCTTATCACAGAGTAACATTTGTCACATTATACAAGTATGTTTAGTTGATGGATACTTCAGTGATGTCAAAAATCTAATTTTAGTTAAGATATATATGACTTGAGTAATTCAATGGTGAGATCACATAAACTTAATAAAGTGCCACTTGATATGTCACGAACTATTTTGACACTTAAATTTAAGATTTTTTTTAATATGCTATTCATAAAAAGTAGTATTAAGAGATTGTTACCTTTATTGTAACCTTCTAAACATCTTTACAATTAAAACCACCTAGAGCCATTCTATGACATAAATAAATAAGCAAACAAACAAACTTCCTGACCCCTGAGGTTTATAAAATAGGTCAAATAATAATTTGGTATTACCTTGGTTAATTTTGGATTCTGTTTGGTGATGGTGGGAACATTAACTTGAAGCTCTCCTTCATGTGTCAACAAAGGTACCATGTAGGGAGCCTGTCGCCGAAGAGGGCTCAACGGAGCTCCTCTCAGAGATCTGGTCTGTATATCTAAATAAGATCATAGATATCACCCCTTTTTGGCTATAAAGGGGCAGGGAGTAGCTCTGTGGTTAGGGTCTATTCGTAATTCACAGCCTTTTTCTTTTTTTTNCGCATGCGCACTGGGGGGGGATCACACATTGCATTATGGGTACAGCACGCCCATGCATGACCCCCCTGCGCTCCCCCCCTTATGGCACGCAAGCCAAAAAAGGTTCGCCATCGCTGAGCTAGGCTGTAGCATTTTGAACTGAATTTTGTGAACGGTTAAGGACAGCTCTCTATAAAATCAGATAAAATAACCAGTTATGTGCCTAGGCCTGCACTCCCAAGTGGAGGGAGTCAAGTCAAGTACTCACATGGACTATTCAATTAATATAACTGCTTCCCATATATTTAAGTATCTCTCTTTCTGTCACATTAAAATTGTATTGATACCAATTTGTGAAGAGAGTCTAGAGATTATAATCAAGCCTTTTAAGAACTGTCAATGATCCTCAAGCCATAGGTATATACTCTTGATTTAACACAAATATTATATTTTAAGGGTAAGATTTTTAACTATAGCTTAAATGCAGCTCCAAAGAAAACCCTTGGAAAACTCTATCTAGTAACAGAACTAAAAAATATATATCAAAACGAACAACAAAAACATAAGAATTACAACACATTTCATGCTAGAGGAATATGAAACTCCAAACACATTACCATAGCAAGGTATACTGCCATTTATCACAATTTCACACTATAACCAGATTTTAACAGCTTCCCAGACAGCTAACAGGGAGAGAGCCAGTCTAATGTCAGGAAGGAGGTGGGGCAATGCTGTTCTAAAGAAGAGGGGACAATCTTTTGCGAGGTGCCCAAAGAGAGTCCAATCTACTAGATCTAATTGGATGAGCAGAAACCATTGGGAATACTGGTTCCAAAGACATCGAGGTCACAAGTCATGTAGGGTTTTATAAGTAACATCCAGGACTTTGAACTGAATGTGGAAAGTAACTAACAATATAGCAGTTCTGACAGTAGGAGTATCACATAGTAATAATAAGTGGCACACTAGCCACTGCCTTCATGATCAGTTGTAGCTTCTAGGTGGCTTTCAAGGACAGCCCCACATAGACAGTAAAGTATACAAACCTCAGCAATTGTGCTTCCAGTAGTATTTTTTGAAAGGTCATTATATATCTCAGTCATGGTTCCTTTTATAGCATCCATCATCTGTTAAAAGAAAAAATACAGAATTAAATATTTATTTACTGGGAAGAGCTCCGTCAATTTTGTTTACCCCAGATATGGTGAAAATGATTATACTGGAATATAAAATGGTTGTTATAGATTTCATAGCTAAAGGTTTCCCCGCATCTGCGCGCTAGTCATTTCTGGCTCTAGGGGCCATTTCTAAGCTGAAGAGCCAGCGTTGTCCAAAGACGTCTCCGTGGTCAAGTGGCCGGCATGACTAAATGCTGAAGGTGCATGGAATGCTGTTACCTTCCCACCAAAGGTGATCCCTATTTTTCTATTTACATTTTTACATGTTTTCAAACTGCTAGGTTGGCAGAAGCTGGGAAAAGTAATGGGAGCTCACTCTGTTACACGGCACTAGGGATTCGAACCACTGAACTGCCGACCTTCTGATCGACAAGCTCGGCATCTTAGCCACTGAGCCACATTAATTTGCCATTCCAGAGTTAAATGATACTCCCAAGCAACTGAGCCTGATGAAGAGCAATGACTGTATTTCCATCCCCACATTTAAAGCACAAGTATTAGTTTAAGCAGCATCCTCCCCACTCCCAAGCTTACCACTGCTTTCACTTGACAAACAAAAGCAGCCGCTCTATCTCCAGCAGCTACCTAGTAATGTATTCTATAGGAAACCATCTGACATTGTGCCTTAACATCTGTTTAAAAAAAACTACAGAGGAGACTTGGCAAAAGTAGACCCTATAATCTCTTTGCTTGCTTTAAAATCTGTATTTGGGTATCGTGCCTTTTATATCAAAGTAGGTAATATATAGCCCAGATCAGAGGGAAGACTAAAACATTATTTGACTTTGTCTTGCTCTTCAAGTGAGCAACCTAGATAACTTGA